CTCAAAAGATTATGGCCTTTGCTTTAGTGGGTCATACATGGCATTATTTCAAATGAAATAACATTTAAAGAGAATACATTACTAGATGAACAAATCAAGAATAACTGTTGCTTGTTAAACTTGGGTTTTAGTTACATGTGTGTACATAGACTCTAATTTGTAATGCAAAATGTTGTTCTTTGTATGGGGCAGAGGCAGAAATTGAAAAGAATTGGCTTAAAACTGGAGGTATGCATGTCCTTCTTCTAAGGGTTTGTAATACTCAACTTGTTAATTCTTGGGGCTAGTTGCTTTCCAAAATTTAGGATATTTTAGACTTTTGCAAGATGGTAGACTGCAGAGTCTATATGCTATATAAAACCCCAAAAGAGTCAGGACAGCCCCCCGCAATCAAATATATTAATTTGTTTGCTCCTTGCAGTGAAACATATGAATCTTCCTGCTAATGAATGACTGAGCTCTGCAACCAGCACTTTGAGTCAGATTTTGCTGCCAAATGAGTGATGAACATGCTTTTGGTTTCTAGAGCTTTGTGAATTTGGGGAGGGTGCATAAGAGACAGTGGACTTGGGAATACCTTTTTTTTTTTCTAAAACATATTTATTTATTTGAAAAGCAGAGCAACAAAGAGAGAAACAGAGAGATCTTCTATCAGCTGATTCATTCTCCAAATGGCCCCAACATCTGGAGTGAGACATGGTCAAATCCAAGAGCCAGGCTCCTTCCAACCTGGTCTGGTCTCCCATTTTGGTGACAAGAGACTGAGTACTTGAGCCATCTGCTGCCTTCCCTGGGCATAATAGCAGGAAGGTAGATTAGAAGCAGAGAAGTCAGGACTCAAACCAGCACTCAAGAAAAGCATCACAATGCCCAATGCCAGTCCTTCCTTTATTTTTTTTATCACTTGGTGTATGAGGATTGGTAAGGATAATGATTTAGTGTTTTTAATAATTCTCGCTTATTTTCCCATGATAATTTTGATATCACCATTGTCTAATATCTCCTTTATAGTTCCCTTTCATGAGGTGTCTTTAGTGCAGACTTTTTTTTTAAGATTTATTTATTTATTTGAAAGACAGAGTTACAGAGAGGTAGAGATAGAGAGAGAGAGAGATCTTCCATCCGCTGGTTCACTCCCCAGATGACCACAATGGCCGGAGCTGTGCTGATCCGAAGCCAGGAGCCAGGAGCTTCTTCCAGGTCTCCCATGTGGGTGCAGAGGCCCAAGGACTTGATCCATCTTCTACTGCTATCCAAGGCCATAGCAGAGAGCTGAATCGGAAGAGGAGCAGCCAGGACTAGAACCAGTGCCCATATGGGATGCCAGGGCTTTAGGTCAGGGCTTTAACCCACTGTGCAGGTTATTTTTTTTTTTCTCCAAAAGTAACAAGAAATAAACAGCAAGAGTTTGAGTATCCACCCTCCATCTTTTCCCTGAATACATCATCTTTCCTCTTACATCTTTCCTAAAGGATGGGATATGAGATATTATTCTTCCCACCCAATCTGTTATCCAGGTAGGGTTAATTATTTTGATCCTTAACTTCCAAAGGCTTCCATACTTAAAAGAAGTGCATACAAGGCTTAAATTGTAGGGATTCTAACCTTACAGTTAACAGTAACAGAAAGACAATGGGTGCCAGGCACTGTACTTGATCGGTATTAATGTAGCTGATGCTCAGAACAGCCCAGTAAAGGAGATGCCCTATTTTACAGAACATTGAAGCTTAGGTAGATTAAGTTATTTGCTGAAAGCAAGCAGAAGACCTAGTATTTAACTCCATTTTTATCCATATCCCTAACTGTTCCATTATATCTGCTCCCTTAGTGTGATAATCTGAATCCATGGGACACATGGAAAGTTCACCTCTATATTTCTTTTTTTTTAATATTTATTTTATTTATTTGAAAGACAGAGTCACAGAGAGAGGTAGAGACAGGGCGAGAGGTCTTCCATCCACTGGTTCACTCCCCAGATGGCTGCAATGGCTGGAGCTGCACCGATCCGAAGCCAGGAGCCAGGAGTTTCTTCTGGGTCTCCCACGCAGGTGCAGGGGCCCAAGGAGTTGGGCCATCTTGTTCTGCTTTCCCAGGCCATAGCAGAGAGCTGGATCGGAAGAAGAGCAGCCGTGTTTCGAACCGGCGCCCATATGGGATGCTGGTGCTTCAGGCCAGGGCGTTAACCTGCTGAGCCACAGCATCAGCCCCATATCTCTATTTCAATAGCTATTTCTAGCTATATATTTGTTTATTCATTGGTAGATAGGTGACACACAAAAAAAGAAAACACAACTTCATAAATTGGTCAATGCTGGTTGATGGCCTGGATTCTTCCTCAGTTAACTTCCTTTCTTCATGAAGCTCTTCTTGTCGCTGTTCTGAGCACGTGGAATTGTGACCATCTGGCCTTGCTGTTCAGTGGTTTAGCAGCTGGAGGTCTAGAAACAGAGTGCACACTCTCCTGCCTGCTCCAACTTGGGGGTCTTTTAACGCCACTAATTGGGGTCTGCTAGGTACTACCCTAAGCTGTTGAATTAAAATTCTGGCTTCACATACTCTTGGAGAAATTCCTTAGCATCTTTATCCTGCAGTTGCCTTATGTTTTTAAAAATGGGTACAATAATGTTATTTACCTTATAGGGTTGTGATAGGGATTAATGCTATAATCTTTATGCTTGGAACTGAAAAAATTTAGAAACCAAGGATGTTATGTATACAGCTTTTTCAAAGCTGTACATTTGTATCAAAATTTCCCTTAGTTGTTATTAGAGAGGAAAGACCTCTAGGGTTCAGGGCTCATCCCCCTTCTTTCCACAAGGGGAGAAGAGGGACTGTGTCCATGGAGATTACGGAAGAATCTGCACACAGTGTGTGCCTAAGAAGTATTTACTGGGTCCTCTTGGCTGAAAGCTTGTCTTTATGAAGAGATAACTAGAACCTGTTTTTTTTTTTCCAGTTGTATGACTCATAAATTCGGTCAAAAGGCCACCAATGACCTGCAAGTAGTGAGAAAGGCTGAGAGAATGTGTCTTGATTTCTAGAAACGCAGTACTTGTCAGCCCTACAAACTATTTGACCAAGGGAAGAATCATCCAAGAACTGTTTTTTTTTTTTCTTTTGTGTATTTAAAAAATAAAGAAAAATGAAACACAGGGCTGTTAAGCTATCTTGGTTTTCAGGAAAGTAAAACAGAATCAACCTTGAGGTGCTGCTAACATTTTCATTCCTGACCTAGATGTGGTGCTCATTTGTGAAGAATCGTTGAACTCTACATATGCTGTGAAGAGATTGTAGCACACATTACATGTATTTTTTAAAGATTTATTTATTTATTTGAAAGTCAGAGTTACACAGAGAAGGAGAGGCAGAGAGGGAGAGAGGGAGAGAGAGGGAGAGAGGGAGAGAGGGAGAGAGGGAGAGAGGGAGAGAGGGAGAGAGGAAGAGAGATCAGTCTTCCACCTGCTGGTTCACTTCCCAATTGACTGCAATGGCTGGAGATGCGCCGATCCAAAGCCAGGAGCCAGGAGCTTCTTCTGGGTCTTCCACATAGGTGCAGGGGCCCAAGGAGTTGGGTCATCTTGTTCTGCTTTCCCAGGCCATAGCAGAGAGCTGGATCGGAAGTGGAGCAGTCGGGACAAACTGGTACCCATATGGGATGCTGGCACTGCAGGAGATGGCTTTACCTGCCATGCTGCAGCGCTGGCCACATTGCATATATTTTTAAAATGAACCAACCTAATCTGTACAGCTTAATGCATTTTTGCCTGCACTCACAACCATGTAAACATCACTAGATCAAGGTCTAGAACATTTCTATCACATCTAAAAGTTCCCTTGTGTTCCTTTCATTGTGTATAAGCCCTTTTCTGATTTCTGTCACCACAGACTTAAGCTTGACCTGTCCTTGAACTTCACATACATGGGATCTTAAAGTATGTCCTATTTTGTGTCTGACGATTTCTATTTAACATATTTTGGAGAATCATCCATTTTGTATGCATAGCCACATTTTATTCCTTTTATATATTTTTAGTAATATTCCATTGCATATATAAACCAACATTTGTGTATCCATTGTACTTTGAGGGGCATTTTGGTTTGTGCCAACTTTGGCTATTCTCTATAAAAATTTCTATAAATACTTATGTTTCTATCTTTTTGTGCTGAGATGTTTTCATTTTCTTAAATTCTCAGGACTGAAATGCTAGGTTACAATGTACGCATATGCTTGTTTCTATTAGAAATTACCAAATAGTTTTATCAGGATGATTGCACCATTTTACCCCCAGGCTGTTAAGAGTTCCAGGCACTCCATATTGTTGCCGACAGTTGGCTTTTTCAGACTTTTAGAAAATTGCTTATGTGTACAATTCTCTACATATTCATTATACTCCAATAAAAAGTTTAAAAATCAATAGGAAAAATCATGGTTGTTGTATCTAGTACTGAAACTGAAAATTTAAGTAAATCTTCTGGATATTTTGTTGACATCTGCCAGTTATCCACTAACCAAATATTGCCCTATTTAATCAATGTATTTTTATTTTTACATTATATAGAAATGGTAAGTGGTTAAAACTTGGGATTTGTTCTTGTAATATTATTCATTAATTTGAGAGACAGGTGGTGGGAAAGTTCCCATTGCTGGTTCATATCCCCAAATGTCTGGGGCTGGACCAGGCCAAGGCCAGGAACCTGAAACTCTATCCAGGCCTCCAGGTGGGTGGCAGAGACCCAACTACTTAAGCCACCACCTTCTGCCTCCTAGGGTTCACTTTAATAGGAAGATGGAATTGGGATCCAGAGCTGAGAATCAAAACGAAGGCACATCACAATCTGGTGTCTTAAGCTCTAAGCCAAATGCCTACCCAGGAAAATATTATTCCAGGAAAAAAAGCCATATGATTAAGCCATTTCCATTTTAATTTTGGGTGGTTGGAGGACTTAGGATGCAGAATGTGTTAAGAGCTCACTGCTTTTCTTCTCCCCTTCCCTTTCAGAGCATAAATGTCCAGTGGATGAGCGGGAGCAATTGGAGGAAACCTTGCCCCTGATTTTGGGGCTGATATTGGGCCTCGTCATTGTGGTAACACTCGTGATTTACCACATCCACCACAAAATGACCGCCAATCAGGTGCAGATCCCTAGGGACCGGTCCCAGTATAAGCACATGGGCTAGGGCCCATCCCACAAGCCTTTGCCCCCAACTGGATCAGGTTAAAAAAACACAAGCACTTTTCACCTTTACACAGGATACACCAACATACTACAGTCAAACAGGCCTGGGTATCAGAGTCTTGCTTGGCCTTCATCCATGCTTAAACCCAGGGAGGGAGGGACTATTTTGGATTTAGGAGGTGAATGACAATTGTTCTCTCCATGCTGGGGAGTGGAGGGGGAGGGGGTCAGCCAGCTTTCTTGCTCATGGAGGCTTGGCTTTGACTTTCCAAGGTACAGCGCATATCGCTTGGAGGAGGATCTGGGCCTGAAGTTTAGGGACTGGAAACACATTCTTTAGGGAGGAAACCCCTCTAGGTTTGGAGGAACAGGGGGTGCTTTTCTCTCTTGGACACAGCTGGCTTGCTCTCTACCGTTGTCAATACACACACAATACAACCTCACGCTCCCTGCAGCAAGACCCCTGAAAGTGACCCATGCTTCTGGCTGGCGTTCTGCATGTCTAGTGATTGTCTTGGGAATGTTTCACTGCTACTTGCACCCAGTGACTTTGCAGCACCAGAACCCGTTTAATGTAACTATGCAGAGTTTTTGGACTTAAAATGTGTCAGGTCCGAGTAAGTGGACCTGAAGAATCAATCCTTGTGAGTTGTTTTTCAAAATGAATTAAAGTACACTACTCTCTGATCTGTGGTTGCTTTCTTGAAACAAGAAAACAAAACTACAATTGCTTCTTTTGGCATCCAGAGTAGAAAGGAGTGAAGATGAAGGTTGATTTTTCATGGTTGCAAGAGGAAAAAAACAAAAAAGGAACAGGGGCACATTGAGCGGGGAGGCCACTTTTGCAGGTTAACAGGCAGGGGCATGAATTTATCTTGGAAAAGAGAGTTTTATTTAGCTTTAACATTTATTTGAAAGATAGAGACAGAAAAAAAAGAGATCTACCATCCACTGGTTTACTCCCCACAGTCCCACAAAGTTGAGGCAGGGCCACACTAAATCTAAGAGCTAGGAACTCCATCACGTCTCTCCAACGGGTGGCAGGGATTTAACCACTCAGATCATCACCTGGCTGCCTCCAGGGTACACAGTAGGAAGCTGGACTAAGGAGTGAATCTAGGACTTGAACCCAGCCACTCCGATGAAGGACGCATGCATCCCAAGCAGAGCTTTAATCACCAAGCCAAATGCCCACCTCATAAGTGGTTTCAATAAGTGCCTCTTGAATGATGGGTCTAACATCGTTTCTGATACTTCTTGGTCGTGGGTTTGGCATTTTTGATTGGATTAAAATGCAGGGTTGGATATGGAAGCCTAGGGTGCATTTTATTTGAAGTGAAGTGTAATTTACTGAAACTTGCTAGAGAAGCACACATAGCGTGAATTCTGCTTATTTTTCAGAAGAACAGAATGGGGTAGGGGATTCCGCCCTCACTCCCTGCAGGATCCCACCACAGGGAGGCAGTTCGTGAGCTCATCTCCCTCAGTCCCTAACGGCCAACAGCAGGGCATCCTCCGAAGTTCATTATCCCAGCAAATCTGGATAATACCATCCTGTTGCTGTTCTGTTGCTCCTTTGTTTGCTGCTCTATCAACCTCAATCCTCCTTTTGATGTGATCTCTCTTCAGTGTTTGCCTCAGACTACTGAGGGAAAAATGTCAAATTCCTCATCAAAGTTACATGTTGAGCAAAGAAAGTCACCTTCAGTGACTCTCACCCTGGAGGACAGTTGATTCTACTCTTTTAAAAAAATTTATTTTTGTTTTTGAAAGGCAGAGTTACACATAGAGAGAGATCTTCCAGCCACTGGCTCACTCCCCAAATGGCTGCAATGGTCGGGTTTGGGCCAGGCTGACACCGGGAGCCTGAATTCCATCTGGATCTCCCATGTGGGTTCAGGGGCCCAAGGACTTGGGCCATCTGCTGCTGCTTCACCAGGTACATTAGCAGGGAGCTGGAAGGGAAGCGGAGCAGCCAGGACTCGAACCAGTGCTCATATGGGATGCTGGCACCACAGGTGGTGACTTAACCCACTGCACCACAATGCTGTCCCTGATTCTATTCTTTTACTCATCTATGACCATGCTTCCATGTCCCAAACTTAACATACCTTTCCCATTTTAGTGTCACTTATATATATGTATGTATATTTAAAGATTTATGTATTTATTTGAAAGGCAGAGTTACAGAGAGGCAGAGGCAGAGGCAGAGAGAGGTCTTCCATTCACTGGTTCATTCCCCAGATAGCCACAATGGCCAGAGCTGTGCCAATCCGAAGCCAGGAGCCAGAGCTTCTTCTGGGTCTCCCATGTGGGTGCAGAGGCCCAAGCTTTTCCGGGCTATAGCAGAGAGCTGGATCAGAAGTGGAGCAGCTGGGACTCAAACTGGTGCTCATATGGGATGCTGGCACTGCAGGCAGTGGCTTTATCTGCTACGCCACAGCTTCAGCCCCTTATGTATTTTTTTAAACTTCATATTTTTTTATTTGGAAACTTTCAATGATTTGAGGAGAAATTAATACTTAAATCTATCTAGGACTTTGCAACTATTTTTCATTCCTTTCTGTAACCATAGGCCTCTCTGCGTCAGAACCTCTGGGAGTTGTCTCCTTTTAAATTGCTTTCATAAAACATGGGCTTTGTGTTAGTTTTGGAAATGTTATTAATTCATGTATTTAATAAACATTGCATCTGATCACCTACTGCTGTTTTGAGCACCTCTGAGTGTAGGCTCAGGGTTGGGTACACATCAGTAAACTTGACAATGCAGCATTTTGAGGGGGAGGACTGACAGGGAAACAGACACAAACAAACATGTCATTCAACAAAGAATAGAGTCTCTCGGTTCTTTTCAAGATGTTGACATAGGGCCATATCCCTATGTCTAAGCTAACTAATATTATCCTTTTGGAATCCAAATTTTTAATTATTAGAATTAACAGTGGACTTTTATATGTGAAACATACAAGATGGGTTACTACTATTACTACTATTATTATTGCTATTTATTATTGTTATCACCATAATCGCTTACCAGGTCATTTTTATCTAGCTTTCCTAAAATTAGGTTTTGAACTCAGCCTAATTTCCTTTGAGCTTGGCCTTATTTCTCACAGTCCCATCTTTACTGCAAACTGAACATAAAGGGGAGCTTCAGGATATAGAGCAGGAGTCGTGGAATCTTAATGTGTCTGTGGCTAGCATTCTCCCACCTCAAAGTGTCCAGAGGGACTGACGCAACTCTGGACCTCAGCTCTGAACTCTTGTCATGCTCAGTGCCATTGTCTTACATTTTGCAGGTGCCCCTGAACCAGGAAAAGCTAATGCTGTGGCTCAACTATCTGTTTTGCTCCCAAGCTCAGAGATGGAAAAGAAAACAGCTAAGCCACAGATGCTCAATTACCCCCTTGAACTGTCATTTTTCTTTTTTATTGAGACTTTAACACACATGCCTCTGGGCATAAAAGGATGCTGGGTTGGCTTGCTGGATCTGCCCGTGTGGAAATGCCAGGGCAGATGAAGCATACGCAGATCTCTTTTTTTGGGGGGAGAGGGTGACTGATTTAAACTGTGAACGCAATTCTTTGTAGGGTTCCCCACGCCTAGGAACTAGCTTCCGGTGACATTGTTTCAAAGGCCACTGGCTTCTCACCCGGAGCCTGGGAAAGCCCTCCAAACTACTGCCAATTTTTTCTCCTCTGTTGTCCAATCTTTCCACTAACAAAGACTTGGCAACCTCCCATGGGTACGGGAGGCACCGGCACCAGAGTAATGGGAATGGAGAAGGGGGGGGATGGGAGGAACGACCATTTCTGCTGCTCAACTCTGGTGGAGCAGAGTGCCCTGTGCAAGGTTTTATTGAGAGGGTGGTCCGCCTGGCTTTAGGCATGAACATTTTCCTGGAACAAACACAGGTGACCCGAGTCAGACAGACACATCTTTAATTCAGGCTGTCACAGTGCAATTGGAAGGCAGTCTTCTCAAATCCCTTTAAATATTTATTTATTTGAAAGGGAGAGAGCACGCGAGTGACAGAGAGAGCACTTCCATCTGCTGTTTCACTCTCCAAAAGCCCATGACAGCCAGGGTGGGCCAGGCTAAAGCCAGGAGCCAGGAACTCCATCCTGGTGTCCCATGTGGGTTGCAACTGGGGCCCAAGTACTGGGCCCATCCTCAGCTGCCTTCCCAGACACATTAGCAGGGAGCTTGATGGGAAGTGGAGCAGCCTGGACTCCGACTGGCACTCAGATATGGGATGCTGCCTTCGCCCCCTGTGCCTGCTGTGGAAAAGTGTCAGTTCTAGAACATCATCCCCAACAGGTTGCTTGAGAATCTTTATGGTGAAATCCTAAAATCTATGGTTTGACTGCTCCCTTGAGATAATTTTTTGGTAGTATGATTCTCTTTTTCTTAAAAATAAACTATGTATGTGTGTGGTATGTATGATGTAGAGACATAGAAAAGGGCTTAGAAGAATACATAAACTTCTTTTGGAAGGTGGAAATGGGTGGGGGTGGGGGGTGGAAGTGGGGTGCGGACATATTGCTCATGTTCTACTTTGTATTTTTCTATTTGTTTAAAGTTAATGATTATTTTGGAAATAAAAATATAAATTTTTGACATAAAAATGGTTTTGGAGGCAATAGAATCATTCATAAATGCCCTTAAAAATAATATGTAAGCTTCTTCCTTCCATTTGCAAACCTGTAAGGACACAGTGAGGGCACCATTGCCACAAAACCTTCTCTACAAACTTTTTCAGCACACTAAGTCATTTATTTCAAAGATTTTATAGGATGACAATGCCCCTCAGATTATGTCATAAATGACATGTTAAAATGAAGGCTTTTATGAATATAGGAAACATTAAAGACTTCGATGGAAAAAATGGCTAATGCTACCTAGTGTTGCTATACTTTATTCAAAATTGGCCCTACTTTTTTTTAAAGATTGTACTTATCTATTTGAGAGGCAGAGTTACAGAGACAGGGAGAGACAGAGAGAGAGGTCTTTTGTTCACTGGTTCACTCCCCAAATGGCCTCAATATCCGAAGATGGGCCAATCCAAGGCCAGGAGCTTCTTCCAGTTCTCCCACATAGGTGCAGGAGCCCAAGCCCTCGGGTCAACTTCTACTGCTTTCCCAGGCTGGATCAGAAGAGGAGCAGCCCGGACATGAACCAGCATCCATATGGGATGCCGGTGCCGCAGCGCTGTCCCAGCCCCATGTCTTATTTACTTCAGTGAATAAAAGTCTAGCTTTCAAATGTAAATACCCATCTTATGTTGAAAAATGACCTTCACATTTGTGTTCTGATCCAAATTGGACACAATTAAATCATTTGTCAAATACAAATGGTTACACCTCAGCACAAAACAAAATCCTAAAAATAGCATAGCAAGTTAGCCATGACATCATTTATTAGACTCTGATTGAATTGTTATTTGCACAGCTAATTTTTTGTGTACTCATAGGAAAACTAGTGAAAAGCCTTTTCTAGCAGTGCACATGCAACATTATCCAAATGTAGGACTTCTCTATGTTCATTTTTCTCAAATGAAAATGGAGCTCACGATGCCATCCCAGCAAATTTACTTGAGGATTCTTGAAAGAACACTTCACTCCCTGTACAATGCTTGGCACACTGGAGATGCCCCATCAGATGTTATTGATGACATTTTCTACACAATCCTTAACATGCATTCTTATCTTACTCACCAAACAAGAGCTCAGGAAAGATCCAAAGGGACTAACGCAGGGGTTTTAAACTCCGCATTCAGAGTTTCCCATATGTCTCTCTGTGGAGATTTCCCCCGACCCCATTCCCAGTTCAGTAAGCCACTCAGGGGCTTGTCAGTTGGAGGTGGCAGCATTGTCAGAGTCCAAGAATATGGATAGGAAAGTATTAGACTTTTAGTTTTCACTAACCTCAAGTGAAAGCAAGGATTTGCTTCGATTACAAACTTTAGTTAAAAAAAAAAAAACACTGTAGGATAAGCAGGGTCTGTGAACTTGTCATCAATAGACATCCCATTATACTTCTGTTGTCAAAAATCATTTATACTTTGATTTACTTGGAAATTATGGTAGCTATTAGACTCATCATATGGTATTGTCATTTCAAGCACTATAATTACAAAATTAAACTTTGTTGATGACTATATGTTAGTTGGTTTTCCTTGTAAGCCTGTAGGCTTCAGATAGCTGAGGGGTTTAGCTACAAGGAATTTCAGGGTTAGCAGCCACTTCAGTTGTCGTTCAAGGTGACTGAGCCTGTCACATTGTCAGCTGGGGAAAGTTTCACAAAGGCTCATGTGACAAATGAGATCACTGCTATTGATAAACATTGATCATGAACCTTTTTTTTTTTTTAAACAGGCAGAGTTAGACAGTGAGAGAGACAGAGAGAAAGGTCTTCCTTCCGTGGGTTCTCCCCCCAAACGGCCACTACGGCTGGTACGCTGCACCGATCTGAAGCCAGGAGCCAGGTGCTTCCTCCTGGTCTCCCACGTAGGTGCAGGGCCCAAGGACTTGGGCCATCCTCCACTGCCTTCCCGGGCCACAGCAGAGAGCTGGACTGGAAGAAGAGCAACTGGGACAGAATCCGGTGCCCCAATCGGGACTAGAACCCGGGGTTCTGGCACCACAGGCGGAGGATTAGCCTAGTGAGCCACTGCGCTGGCCCGATCATGAACTTTCTAGACCCTGCTCTGGGTTCTGGGGACACACACTAGTGAGCTCAGTAAGTAAAAACCTCTGCCCTCAGGGAACTGAAGTGGGGTGTGTGTGTGTGAGAGAGAGAGAGAAAAGAGAGAGAGAGAGACAAAGATAGAGAGAGAGAGAGAGTCTAGTCAGGCAGATATGATTAATGTGCTGCCATTATCTAACACTTTGAGGCCTGGGTTACCTCAGTTAAGGTGGATCATATAAGATCCTAAAGTTCTTTTTTTTTTTTTTTTAGCTTTAAGTTTTAAGATGCTGACAATGACAAAGCATAATGATGAAAGACTTTGGTGTGAATGCAAACCTTTTCAGGATAAAGAATCCCTTTGCTCTGAAAATAGTGCATTTCGTTCAGAAGTCAGAGATCCATTGACTTTCTCAAGCCCTCCTTTATTCCTCAATTCGACCTTCTCATGAAGGAGGCATTGCCTGGGGCCCACCCGTGTTCCCCAGCCTTTCCTGGACATCTTTTGCTGATGGCCCCAATGCCTTTCCATGTCTCTTTGGCGGAGGAACAAAATGTGCAGGGCAGGTGGCAGTTCTAGGGTTGATGCTTGAGCAGTTCTCAACTAGGGATAAGAGATGGTGGGGCCAGCGCCGCAGCTCACTAGGCTAATCCTCTGCCTTGCAGCGCCGGCACACTGGGTTCTAGTCCCGGTCGGGGTGCCGGATTCTGTCCCGGTTGCCCCTCTTCCAGGCCAGCTCTCTGCTGTGGCCAGGGAGTGCAGTGGAGGATGGCCCAAGTGCTTGGGCCCTGCACCCCATGGGAGACCAGGATAAGTACCTGGCTCCTGCCATCGGATCAGCGTGGTGTGCCGGCCGGCGGCCGCGGTGGCCATTGGAAGGTGAACCAATGACAAAGGAAGACCTTTCTCTCTGTCTCTCTCTTTCTCTCACTGTCCACTCTGCCTGTCAAAAAAAAAAAAAAAAAAAGATGGTGATAAATACATCAGTATCCATGTCCCCCAAAGGTCAATCCTGAAGTGTCTCTAAGGAGGCCTCCAGGAGGATTGAGCCCCAGTTGCACACAGCGGTAACCCATTCATGATGGCACACTTGTTTTTTTAACTTTGGTCTCTCCTCTGTCTCATATTTCCAGTGTGCTATATTGAGCTTCCTGGGATCATCTTGTAAATAAAAATCTCTTAAAACTTTGTTCTAGGCTCTTTTTTTAGCAGAACTTACGTTACGATAGTATTTCCACTGGGCTTGGAAATACACTCAGAATGTGCTCATTTCAAGGCTTAAGTTGCCGGCGCTGCGGCTCACTAGGCTAATCCTCCGCCTAGCGGCGCCGGCACACCGGGTTCTAGTCCCGGTCGGGGCGCCGGATTCTGTCCCGGTTGCCCCTCTTCCAGGCCAGCCCTCTGCTGTGGCCAGGGAGTGCAGTGGAGGATGGCCCAGGTGCTTGGGCCCTGCACCCCATGGGAGACCAGGAAAAGCACCTGGCTCCTGGCTCCTGCCATGGGATCAGCGCGGTGCGCCGGCCGCAGCGCGCCGGCCGCGGCGGCCATTGGAGGGTGAACCAACGGCAAAGGAAGACCTTTCTCTCTATCTCTCTCTCTCACTGTCCACTCTGCCTGTCAAAAAAAAAAAAAAAAAAAAAGGCTTAAGTTGACTAGTGTTCAGGTACAATGTGAATCTGTACTGTATCATGTTACTCTTACAAAATTTCTCCTTCTTGTACATTCTGTATCTGCTTCAGACTGAATCGATCGTCCTCCCTTCCAGGAATCTCATTAACATTTCTTTGATGACATGGTGCTATTCACTTGATTGGTTTGACCAAGGAGTCTGAACTCGTTGAGTTATTAACTTCATGGAATGATTTTATTTTTCCAGTAATTGATACTGAGTATGTTCTTCCCAGTGGGTAATGCGAACACAAGCATAACTCTGATTCCATCTGTCTAATTCAGTTAAAAAAATCAATCTTTTGGAGTTGGCATCGTGGCATGGCAGGTGAAGATTTGCCTGGGATACCAGCATCCCATATGGGCACTGATTCCTGTCTGGGCTGCTCCACTTCTGCTCCACCTCCCTGCTAATGTCCTGGGAAAAGCTGCAGAAAATGGCCCAAGTGATTGGGCCCCTGCCACCCATATGGGAGACCAAGATGAATCTCCTGGCTCCTGGCTTTGACCTGGCTCAGTCTTAGCCATTGCAGCCATTTGGAGAGTGAACCAGCAGATGGAAGCTCACTCCCTTTCTCTCTCTCTCTCTCTCTCTCTCTCTCTCTGACTTTCAAATAAATCTTCTAAAAAGTCAATCCCATTCTCATTAAAAAATAACACAGCTTTCCTTTGCTCAGGCCAAACTTACACCAGAAAAAGGTAGCAGTGGAGAGGTAGTGGCAGGATATCTGGTGTGCTCTCTTATTCTCCCTTTCTTTCTTTAAATCCCTCTTCCAAACCATGGGGTCTTACATGAACACACAGCCCAAGTCTATGGGGACCAAATAGCCAGGAAGATTCTGGTAACTTAGCTGGTGGTATTCAGCTGCCTTGCAGATGCTAATGGACTAAGGATATGCCTGAATCTCATTTTGGTTCAGCCTGAAGACTATAGCTTCTGTTGTTTGGAGTGGTCTTGATACAGATGGTGTACATGGATTTTAGAGTAAGGCTCAGGTCCACTCTGATCCTTGGTGGTTGCATAAAAGTAGCCATTTCCCTCTTTGGTCTTCTCTATGGTGCATGCCTCAGTGCAATCCAGGTCAGGCATCTCACTCCTTAGTTAAGGGTTTGACATGTTCCTGCTTCCTCTCCATGCTCCAACATGCCCAAAGAAACTCATTACCTGGCAAGGGCTGAGGATGGCTGTCAGGAGGTTGCTTCCATCTTTCTCTCCCTGGGCCCAGGATATACCATGTCCATTCTTGCCCTGCTCTCTCTGGTTACTTCCTGAGGGTTTCCACCGCTCCCTCCCCCCATTGCCAGGTAAAAAGTGGGCTCTTTATATACAAATATACACCCCAGCTTCATGGGATCCCATGTTAAACACTCCCTTAACTCCTGAAGAGCATGAGGGGCCTAGTCTCTCTTCCAGGCTACCAGAAAGCTCCCACCATACCTTCTCCAATCCAAATCCGTGGAAGAAACCCTGAGATCAATTCCACATCATTGTTAATTGGGAAGTGAAATGGAAGTTATTAGCCCTAATTCCGGCTTTCTCTAATTTTGGCCTTCCAGAATTTAATATACATTTTTCTCCATAGTGGTATCTATATCACAGGCCTAGACTATTTGTAACCTTGGAGATGGGGATATTTACCTTCAGTTCACGTCATCTTGACATTACATGTAATGTTATACCAACTCATTTACATTCCCTAATGTTGTTAAGCAATCATTCTTGGTTTCACAAAAAGAGAAATTCACAAAATCACTACAGTTTCCAATAACACAATGGGGAAAAGGCAAACATTTATTTTTATTTGCAAGTGCAGTTTCTGCCAATAGTTAGTGTTCATAAAACCCTTTTAAGCTACAGTAACATTTGGTAAATTCAATGAATACTTCAAAAAATGTTCAATGATAATAAAATTACAGAAAAATTTCCATTACACTGTCAAAAATGTTTGGAATCCAAAGATTCTGCAATTTTTTAAATGTTGATTTCAGTTTTAAAAAAGAGTTTCTTTTTCTTTTCTTTCTACTTCTACGCAGTCCTGGTGAATGTTTCATGAACTTTCAGGACTGCCATTCTCTGGAATTAGATTTTTTCATTCTTACATATTTATAATAATACTTTAATATTTTACATAAAACACTGATTTTTCTATGTTTTAGGAAATAAACTTATAAATTCTATTTATGGTGAGGCATTTCCAGTTTGGGGGAAAACTGGAAATCTAATCAGTAGAAGGTCATTTTATGCCTTTTTTCTTTTTCCCTTTTAGCTATAATAAATAATTAGCAACCTATTAATTACAAAATTCTTAATTATGCTTAGAGCAACCAGAGCATTTTCACAGATTTAAATTCATGTTTGTTACAGTATGCGAAGTCATTAGGAAAGCCTCTGGTTTTCCAGTTTGGTAACAAATGGCTTTTTTCTGATGCATAATTAAAAGAAACTAACGATGACTATGTAGCTCTTCCAGAATTTTAAAGGCAAATCTATATTGGCCTACAGGTAACATGCAAATTCATTCAACAAGCAACACAAAATGTATCGTAGTAGTCATTCATTTTTATCAACATTCAAAAAGATCTAGACAGCAGCACAGCTCCCCTATGTCGGAAACACATCATAACATGGTCACAATTGAAGTCAGATCATACCTGGTAAAACACCCCCTTGCTAATTCATCCTCTAGTCAGCTCAGACTTCCCGCATGATACGTGAACAACACCAATGAATTCTGTGGGACATAGGTAAATACAGACAAGTGTTCGGTGTGCTAGCATACAGAGTTTTATAAATAGTGGTGACTGAAACCAAACATCTTGTCCTGTTCACCCCCCTCTCCATTTGCGAGCCTGGAGTTCTCGTGGTCTCACTCAAATATTCAATGTGGGGAACTGAGTCCAATGATTCTAGCACTGAAATTACTCCCTGGGAAGAAAATTTGGCCACATAGAGATGGTACACCCATTTGAGGGAGGGTACTAAGAGAAACATTCTGGTTTGTGAAAAATGGTTTGCTCCTACAAGCCTTGAAGGAAAGTGTGATTTTTCAAAATATTTAGCTTTATCCCAAAGAGTAGTTTGGTGGTATACTGTGGCTCAAATTTTATTTCATTATTTTTGGTTGGATAAATGAAATGTGCACACCATCACCATCACTCTTAATTCTTCCATCACATAAGACACTTATTAAGATAAGAAAGATATTCGACTAAAGCTGACGGTGATTGAGAGTCATTCAGTATTCAAAGTTCCTAAAGAATCATTGGTTCTCTGAAAGGGATAAAAAAGTAGGAAAGGCTTTGTTCAAACTCCTGCTAGTAAACAAGTAGTACTTCAACCGATACAATGGCTACGTGACATCAAAGTACTATAAATTATCAAAACTATCGTACAGAAAAATTACAAATTCATTGCAAAATACATTACACTGCTACCATTAAGAAAAAAGTGCTTTTTGTTTTCCTTTCTTTAATTTTTTTTGCCAGAAAAGTATTCTTTCAATATAGAAAATCCTATGCATTACCCTGCATGTGGCTAGGATATATCATAACGGAGTTTGTACTGAGTCCTTCTGATTTGCTGGATGAAGGGCTGAAAAATATAATAATGACTTCGTGAAGCTGTGCTCCAAATGACCACACCAACTGTCAGTGGAGAGATGCCCATTTAAGACACAAGAAGATGCCCTGGTCTGTCAAACCCTGCCGGTCATCACACTGTCCCACCAATCAGCTGGTCTGGAATGCACAGGCCTTTTGCATGTTCTGTGGTTTCTTCATGTTCTCCTGAATTATTCTCATGTCCTCATCTAGCTTTGTCACCTGGAGGAATTCTCTGCTCAGTGATGCCTGTATTGTCTCATGAGGGGAACGATGCAAGATGGTGGACCTGCCAGTTTTAGGAATGGATGTCCAAGGAGTTCCTGGGCTGTGGCTCTTTGAGAGGGCTCCCTCACTAACATCAGATCTAGGAATCCCCGGAGCACTGAAGACACCTGTGAAGACACAGAGACACCATCCTGAGGACTAACATGGAAACCTGGGCCAGTCAATCCCATCAACAACTCAAATTCCATATAGTCAACGTGAGGAAAAAGATATTACCAGAGAAAAAGCAGGTATTGTGTTTATTAACACTGTCTTCAGGTGTTAAATAATAGGGATAAATAGTGGTACAAGTGAGAATGAAAACACAGTTTCTAAATAAAATATCAGCGATCGTAGTGATAAGAACAGTCCTTATGGACTATTTACAATGCACTGGTGCTGGTCACACATTTGGTGAAGTGTAGTAGTGAAGTGTAACTTTATTTTTCTAGCACATGCATCCATATTCACTCTGGGGAATCCTCTTTCTTGCAGAGAAACATGCTTCTATAGGGGTACCAGACACAGATCACATTTCACCCTTTATACTTTACTATTTTGAGGTGTACCTTACACACAATCAAGTGCATACATATTAAGCAAATGACCTAATAGATTTTTACCTGTTTTCTGGCCAATCTAATCTCCATTCCTATCAGGACATAGAACATTTCTACCACTCTGGGAAGCTATCTCAGGCCTCCTTCCTGCCAATCCCCGTCCTCCTGACAATGTCACCACAATCCTGACCACTCATAGCACAGTTTTATCTGCTTTTATACTTTGTAGAAATGAATTAATACACTGCGAACTCTTCTCTATCTGGCTTCTGTCATTCACTGTTAGGTCTGTGAGAGCTATCTCTTATTATGGAAAAAGTTTTATCCCTTTCATTGCTATGTGGTATCCACTGACCAAATATCCCTTTTGGGAAACAACCTTGGACAGTTTGAGAATTTAGGTTGAAAGTTGCTCTTATATATGGTTTTGAAAGGTATTGGCATTCATTTCTATCGTCATACTGTTTATACAATATGTTTTCAATTGTTTAAATGTAGTTCAGCCCAAACTTTTCACTTCTTTAATCCAAGCAGTCACTTATTTTGTGTAGGTCCACACAATCTATATGAATCATTGGATGGAAGCTCTTCCCTTCAATTAAGGGGTGAAGGATTAGGAGACTCTACCATTACAAATTATTCTCCTCTAAAAAGCAGCTTCGTGCTTTTTGTCAGGAGGCAGATGGGTGGGGAGGTGTGTGCCAGGACAACATGTATTGTGGGGAGCGGTGATTCTTGGGCTGAGCTTGACCTCAATTTACAATTCTTGGAAAACAGGACAGACCCTACTGAGTCCCTTATTTTCATTATACTATAAACTCCTCTACCTACCTCTCTAATGTGGTCTACACTTGCCCTCTTACTCCAGCCTCACAATCCTTCTTTGCATTGGATGTTGTGTTTACTTGGGGCATTTTTCTCCCAGGTCTTTGTGTGGCTTTCTTCTTCTTTCCATCCAAGTTCCAACTCTCTAGAAAGGTCTTCCTTCACTCATCAGCCTAAACCTATTCTAGCCTATCAATGCCTCATTTGCTTCATAGCATGTACCATTCTTGGAAATAATTTTGTTCACCCATTTCTTATAACATATTATATGTTTCCCCAGCTAGAATGCAAACCATATAACCATCAGGGAATCTGGGGTTTTGTGCTGTGACATCCCCAGCAATTAGAAATTCCCAGCATGCAACAGCTGTTCAATGAGTGAATGCTGATGGAGCACTGGAGCGACTCTTCCAAACCACTTATTGCGAGATGAGCCTTTCTTATCCCATTGCACAGATAAAGAATTTTAGAGCTGGTGATGCTAAGTCACTTGCACAGTGAAGTAATGCAAGATCAGAGATCTGAATCTATGTGACTAGTTCCAATATCTGTGCCCAGAAACCAGGATCTACTTGTTGGAAGTGATGTCTCAGTCTTTAAAATTACAGAAAGACTGAAAGATCCAAGAACTATTTTGGCCATAGTAATAAATGCCACTTCTTACCTTGTGTAGGTCCTTCACTCTTGGAGGTAAACTGTCCCGGATCCTCCGCATTGCCTGGAGGGGTGGCTCATTGAAGTAGGGGGGCTCACCATCAATCATTTCTATTACCATGATCCCAAGGGACCAGATGTCCACCTGTTATGCACAATCCATGAGTTATGTCAGGCAAGGATAATATTCCAAAATGTTGGATATATCCACACAACCCAACTCATTTATAGTCCTTCATAAATTAATATTGCATTTTATAATCTTTTAAAATTTATAGTATAATTGATACCCATTTCCCATATTGCAGGGCCTAGGTTGGATCGATGACCCTGGGTCTTGATTCTAGCTTCCTGCCAATGAAGACCCTGGAAGGCATCAGGTGATGCCTCAAGTAATCCCTGTCATCCACATGGGAGACATGGATCGAGTTTCTGGCTCCTGGCTTTGCCTGGCAAAGTCCCAGGTATTGTAGGCATTTGGGGAGTGAACCTGCAGATGGGAGTTCTATCTGTCTCTCTCTACCTCCAACATAAAAAAATACACATTTAAAAAATACACATTTATATACTGATTTGTTGGATTACTGAGTTTTTGTTAATGGTCTCCATTTGCTTTTTAAAGACAATTGCAATGAACATTCCACAATTAAGCATAAATGAATATCTTAAGATTCTCAAGTTTATAACTTTAATTTTTATCCTGTTAACTTCACTGGTTAACTGCCTTTCAGGGCTAATGAGAAGAACATCTAAAGTTTTATGTTATGAAAATAGAGAAGGAAGTTGACTTTAAACCATAAGAAAATTTATAACAAACTGCAAAGAACTACAATATATAATGCAGAATATATTTTGGTTCTTTCAGTAATTTAATTCTTAAAAATACTTCTTTTCTCTTCTGCTTTGGGATAGTTCCTTTTGTGTTTTAAAATCAATTTGATGCAGTATGCACAAAACCTTTCTCTATAAAATAATTTTCAGGGAAAGCAATTCTTGGAGTAAAGAATACATAGGACAATGAGAAGCCATAACTGAGCAATAAATTCTGAGTTCTAGTCATTTCCCTGTTATGGCCTCATTACAGCTCTTATCTGTTTGCTGCATTAATATTATACCTCTCGCAGTGACCTTCACTGGGAATTTATCTCTTGGGATCATAATAAAAAAAAAACAAGTAGAGGGCTCATCTAAGGTCAAGCAAGCAAATTATGCCTTTATCCTTTGCTCATTGGTCCATGCCACATCTTTCTGGCTTCTCCTTTCTTAAAATCACCATCCACACTACCATGTGGGAAAACACCAAGCCCAACCAAAATGAACTTGCTGGCTTCCATGTGTCTGAAGTGTTGAGGTCCCTGGGGATTTCTACTTATGCTATTCCCTCCCTAGAAGGGCCTGTCCTACACTCCCTCTGGCCTCTCATTTTTATGTATCCAAGCCCTACCTTTCAATAGATTATGAGTGATTGTTTCCTTTCCAGGGTAAATACAAATTAGGCCATAGTTTTTAGTATATTATAATCATGTATGACTTTTTTTTTTCCTATGAGAAGACACTCATTGACATATTATCTCTGTGGTCCTTTCTCTGATCTCTATTCTTTGAAATCATCATGCCTGTCAATCTGTGTGACTTTGCCATGATGCAATGTGATCAGAGTTGGGAGTATCTCCCCTCCAGTGTTCATTGTAGGACCACAGCAAACAGTACCTGGATAAATACAATGGTGATATCCTCAATGGTGGCCAGTCTCCCTTCTGCCACAGCCTACACTGTGTCAAGTTGTCAATGGGGAAACAATGTGGGGCCAAAAGTCATTGCTCTGATGTCCTATGATCACCAACTGTCTCAAACCACTGTGACCATGAGCCTGTACCATACCCTGACATTCCCAATGATTTTTACAATCTTACCTCTGTTCCATAAGGTAGCCTGGAGATCACCTCAGGTGCCATCCAATAGGGAGTGCCAACCAGCGATTTCCTCTTTGGCACCTCTTTGGACACTTGAGCACAGAAACCAAAGTCAGATAACTTTATCTGAAAAGAAAAGGAAAGTAATAAGCTATCAATCTGAAAATTTTGCCTGCTGGACACAGAAATAAGTACAGGGCATCAAGCTTAAAATACAAATCACATTACTAGTTCTTGGAAATATCAGAGAAAGTGTTATCAGACTTTTTATTGTAAGAGCAATAATCCATTTTAATGGAAAAACTTCTCACAGGCCTACCAGGGTTGACTTCCAAACATATAAACCACCCCCTCCTTGTTATCTTTCATAAAACTATGAAACCAAAACCAAAAACTAACAAAAAGGAAAGGAAACCTCATATAAATTAAATACACTTGGAACAAAAATTCATTAAATTATTGAATTTACTGTAATAATGGATACTTTATTATAAGAAAGTTGCCATTCTGTTAATTTTGTGCAAATCATCACAGTTTCAGTTTTTTGAGTTGAATAGTTAAGATTTCTATGTGCCACGAGATGATTAAAACAACCATCCTCTCTTCTATATCTGAAATATTTTGACCTTCACTTATATAGGTTGCTGAGATTTCACTTCAAGTATTAGTTCTCCTTACCTTTTTTGTTTTGCCCATAACAATTTTCTTTGTCCACAAAAATTGCAGTTGCCTTTTTAAACAACACAGTGGAACTATGGACACATAAACTGGCTGTCAACATTTGGTTGTCAGGGGGTTAAGGTGGTTATACAATGACTCATGATGAATATATATATCACCATTATCTAGTGTATTGTCAAAAGAAAGGGCTTTGAAAATCTTGCACAGAGTTCTTATACTCAAGAATATGATTAAAAGCATGCAGCACTAATAGGCACCTTCCTGCTGGCCTAAGTATTCTATGGTGTAATTTCTAGTTATGATGACCTACTCTGATGGCCTTAGCAAAGAGGACAACAATGAGCTACTTACAGTTGTTGGTAAAGATAGAATACAAAAGTAAAAGTGCTCAGGCATCACTTAACAATGAACATTTCATATTAAAATTTTCTATAGAGCAAAGGTGCCATCTCATAATTCTTCAAACTTTCAGCAATTGTTCTGTTCTTATCTCTGCTGCCCAATTCTTGAATATTGGGGTCCCACGGATTCTGGTTTCAATGCTTACCTCTTCTCTTTCTACATACTCTTGCCAGTTGCTTTCTACTCCAATGCTTTATTAAGTAAGGTCTCTCTTCTCCTTCAAAATCCCACATTTCTAACTACTACATGTTTGCAAGTGGATGACCACATTATTTTCAACCAAACTCAGTGAATTCTTCTCTGCTCTAAAATCTGACCCCGTATCTACTTATCCTGTCCTGGTTAATGCATCAACATCCCCTAAATTTACTAAAGCTAAACTCAGGAAAATATTCCTGACCCCTCCCTCCATCTCACTCCAAATCTTCTTTGTTAGGGTTTTTTAAAAAAATCTCTGTAGCTTTCAGGACCCACAGTCATATGAGGACCATAATAAGTCATCAAAACCAAGGTTGTTGAATAAACGGATGAGTCTCAACCACAAGAAATGAAAAGGGACAAATTTATTAGTATTGTTATATGTAGCATGATTCAGGTCTATAGAGAGGTCTCATATGGAGATAAGATTTTTCCCCAATGTATTATTATGATAATCTTCAAATGTGTAACAGAATTTAAGTAATTATTTACTGAATACCTTTATACTCACTAAGTAGATTCTACAGTTGTTATTTGGACTTTGTCATATACTTATCTCTCTATCCATCCATTTTTGCATCTTATTTTTGATGCATTTAAAATTGCTGACAACAACACACCTCACTCCTACTTTAGCAATAACTAGAGTCCAATTTTTTATAGCTTACATGAAATGCTCATATTTCAAGTTTGTCTTATGACAAATTTTTATTTACTCATTTATTTGAAAGGCAAAGTGATGAGGGCATGGGAGTGAGAGTCAAAGAGAGAAAGGAGATCTTCATGTGTTGGTTCGCTCCCCAAATGCCCAGAAGTATGGGGACTGAGACAGGCCAAAGCCAGGAGCCAATAACTCCATCTAGGTTTCCCACATGGGTGGTAGGGAACCAAGTACTTGGCCCATCCCATCATCTGCTGCTCCTAGTATGCATTAGCAGGAAGCAGGTTCAGAAGCAGAGCAGGGACTTGTATCCCAGGCATTCCTGAATGGAATGAGGACATCCCAAGTATCAGCTTAACCTGCTGTGCCTCAATGTCCATTGTGATGAGTTTTGAGAAGTGCAAATACCTTTGTACCTCAGATTCCTATCAATATATAGAACTTTGCCATCAACAGGGTATGGTTTAGAGTGTCCTTGGGAAGCAGGTAGCAGAGCCATTGTATGAGAAAGAAGAAAACCAAAGATTCAACACTGAGAAGTTGTGGTGATTACAATTGAAGAATAACTAGTTATTAAAAAGAAAACCATCAAAGAGGCAGAGGAGAAGCAAGTGATTTGGGAAAGCCAAGGTAGAGATGGCCAGTGGCTAGAAAACACCAGAGATCAAACCAGACAAGAACTGAGAGTTGCTGTTGTATTCAGTAAGGAGAGCATCACTGGTAGCCCACAGGTTCTGTTTCGATGGGGGCAAAACCTAGGTTATTTGGACTGAAGTGAAACAGTCAGTCAGACTGCTTTTCAAGAAGTGAGATGTTTTGAAAAGAAATCCTACAATTACAAATGTGATAAAAATGATAGTGATGATAATGATAATTAGTATTATGCTATGCACTGGGCTTGAATAGTGTCTCCCCAAATTCACATCCTCAAAACATGACTGAACCTCAAAATATGACTTTACTTGGAAATGCAGTGTTTGCAGATACACAGTCATATATGGCACAAGGACATTTTGGTAAATTATGGACCACATATAGGACAGTGGTCCCACAAGATTATAACATCTAGTGATGTCACGGTCATAGTCATTTTAGTTTGTATAAATACACTTTGATGTTTGCACAAGGACAAGAATCTCTTAATGGTGTGTTTCTCAGAATGCATCCCTGTCATTGAGTGATGCATGATTGTAACTAACCAAAATAAGGTCATGTTGCAGTAAGGTAGGCCCTAAATCCAAAGGCTGGTGTTATTTCTAAGAAATGGGAATGACAAACAGACCTACAGAGAAGACCACGTGAAGACATGTGTTGTGTCTACAAAGGAACACCGAGGATTGGTAACAGTTACCAGAAACCAGGAGAGAGTCATATAGATTCTCCCTCAAAGCTTCCAGAAGGAACCAACTAGCCAGCATGTTGATTTTGGACTTCAGGCTTCCTGACTTGTAAGAGAACAAATTCCACCCAGAGAATAAAAGGCCACAAAATTTGTGGCAATTTGTGACTGCAGTGCAAGAAAACTAATACATTTTCACTGATTCCCATTGAACTCTTACTGAATGCTAAGTAATGCTCTAGGGACTTTACTTGTACTGTAAGTGCTTACAAGAAACTGATGAGGTAGGATTTTACACACAGGTAGGCCAAGTTGTAAAGTTGTTAGGTTACTTGCCCAGTGATACAGGGGTAGGAAGTGAGAGAGCCAGGATTCAGGCATTGAATCAGCAGTCTATACTGAGCAAAGTTAGAGGCTGAAAGAATGAGTTAGTGGAGAGGTAGATGTTAAAGATAAATAAATGAGTGAGTGAGGGAAATTGATGATAGTGTTCCTGAAAAGGTGGGAGGGACATCAGGTCTTGCTACTGCTTAAATATATTGGTATACTGTCTTGAGTATATCAATGGTGGTTTCAGAAAGAGCCCTGATGTGACTTCTATCACATGATCTACTATCATGTGAGTGTGTAACAATATAAGATAAGATCAACCTAGTGGCATGTGTTTATCCACTGTTTTCCCAGCTCTAAGGAACACAGTGAGGCTCCACAATCAGAAAACAGAGCTTCTTCCCCAGGGAATGTCATCTCTAGCCACAGCGACAAAGTCATCACCAGAAAACAGTTCAAGATTGAATGTGTGCTAATTCTTTTGAAACTGGAGAGGGGAGAGATCACTCTGGGCTCCTGAGAACAACTCAGGAAGAAGTAAGATGCAGTTCAAGTTTGGAACTGAATATATAGAAAGAAGTATGAGCCAAAACTCAGAGTGGGGAATAGAGCATTGGATGACTTAATCAATTCCAATTTGCATGGGACATCCCTATGTCTAACACTGGTAATCCCACATTCCAGGAAACCTCCTGGTCCCTAAGAATGGTTTCAGCGTATGCAAAAAGTCCTAAGGAATGTCAGTGGTGAAAGGAAAAGGAATCAAATTTGGGAGAATCTTGGAAGTCACTCAGGTGGATTTTCAGTATGTTCGAGTTGGCAGTAGGGAGACTAGGTTTGGCAAAGACTGGAAGGCGATTTTTCTCAATTGCTCTGGCATATCAAGAATCAACCTGGCCGGCGCCGCGGCTCACTAGGCTAATCCTCCACCTAGCGGCGCTGGCACACCGGGTTCTAGTCCCGGTCGGGGCGCCGGATTCTGTCCCGGTTGCCCCCCTTCCAGGCCAGCCCTCTGCTGTGGCCAGGGAGTGCAGTGGAGGATGGCCCAGGTGCTTGGGCCCTGCACCCCATGGGAGACCAGGAAAAGCACCTGGCTCCTGGCTCCTGCCATCGGATCAGCGCGGTGCGCCGGCCGCAGCGCGCCGGCCGCGGTGGCCATTGGAGGGTGAACCAACGGCAAAGGAAGACCTTTCTCTCTGTCTCTCTCTCTCACTGTCCACTCTGCCTGTCAAAAAAAAAAAAAAGAATCAACCCAAGAGGACTCAGATAATAGAATTTCCATTGTGATGTGTAGAAGGAGGCCTATGACACTGATAATTGGTTGTTAATCTAGAAGAAGTGAAAATCTTACAATCTACCACTTTTGGTCTGGGATATCTGCAGAAGGAGAGAGAGAATTGTGATGTTGATTAAAGTAGGTCCCATATTCCTTATTACACATCATTTCTTACCAGCTCAAGCAGATAGTGGTGGGTTTCAGAAATATCAGGGGAGCGCACATGCTCCTACCAACAAGGGAGAGGAGAAATCCTATATGCACTTGCATTAGGAGGTAATATTCAAAATGTGCAATAACCACATTAATTTATAACATAAAGCCTAGCTGCATCCTGGAGTTAACCTGGGAATGGTTACAAATTTTAGTGAGATAAGGGAGGGTTGCAGGAAAAGACTGGGGTGATAGAGATATTCTGATTTGAAACACTATTAACCAACCAGCTCTAAATTATTGTAATATCATAACAATGGGAACAGACATAAAGCGAAAACCAGCTGAGTGTCCAACCCCAGTCATGCTCAGTGTGGCTCTCATGGAGATAATAGAACATTAGCATGGGTGGAATTGAGCTTGGATAGTGCTACTCCTTCTGTGGCTTATGTGTGGTATGTGAGATTCCAGAATTCCTTCCAAATATCAGCGAGGGGATGGAAAATCCTCGTACAAACCTACAGCCAAGTTAAGAAGGCAGCCAAAAAGGCAATTTTCAACATTTGAGGCAAGAAGCTAGAGCTGTGAAATACTACAGAGGTTCCCTCCTGAATAGTTTAGCCACTGATGGGACCAGGAAATCTTCAATCCAGGTAGCAGGAGAGTCCAGCTACAGCAAGGCAAGGCCAGAGAGGAGCAAGAAGGTAAGTCTCGTATGCCATCCTTCTCTTCCCTTCTCTCAGTCCCCTTGTGAGAAAGAATGATAATGGCAAGTGAGAGGACAGAGTTGGAGGCAACTAATTCTGAGACTGAGTTTTTAAAGTTAACAAACTATATAATAATGTGGTTGAACTTTAATAGACAATATATTAAAGTTCAAAAAGACACAGTTTAGTGACCTGAATGAAAATAGACTTTATAAAAGAATTTAGTCTGTAAATAGAGATAGAGCTTGGTGAAAAAGTCTGGGCTGGTTTTGGGAAATAAAGATACTACAGTGCATATGTGTGTGTGTGTGTATGTGTGTGTGTACACAAGCTCACACACATGTGTGCACATGTGGTTGGTTATTTCCAAAGCCAGAGTATGCATACATATGTAACCCTACTACAGAGCTAGTAGAGGAAGAACAATCATGCTGATAAATTTTGTTTGCTTATAGATTTAAGAAACCCAAATGACTAAGGAATGTATGAACATTTTGGTATTGGTAGCTTTCCATTTCAGTATCTATTGTGGGTTTCTCTTTGCCAAACACAAAAAGAACCAAACCCTTTCAAATCTGGCATACTAATAACCATCTCCCTGACAAAATGTAGGATGAGAAACTGAAACTCAACATTTGGAAGCTAGGCCTGTTCTTCTATTGTGGGAGTGTAAGTGCTTTTGCATGATTTTTTTTTTACCCATCCAAGTATATAAATGAGATAATTTTCTAAAAGAATATAATTGTATACAACATTTGTCCAAATAAATCTGCAAGTAGATAACGAGAACTCAAGTAATGAGCATAATAAAGCACCGTAGGCAGATCTTAAAAGCAGATCACACAGAATCTAAGCTGAGCCTTATTTTAGATAGAATTGTATAACTTGGTTGCTTAGGAATGCACTCTTGTCTCTTTAAGAAGCTAAGAAAACTGCAGCTAGTACATTGTTACCCTAAAAACAGAAGATACAGCCTGTAACACTGGGACCACACAAGAAACTGGAGTTTAGAGTTCAAAGCTGCTATTTAGACCTGAGATCCATCTAGATATGCATAATCTAGATGGAAATCACGATCCTACAGAAGGAAGCGGAAAGGGATTGAACAAAAGAAAGCTGGTCCACAGGATAGCATCATGTTAAAAACAGAATGTAAACGCCTTGCTCGATCAACTGTATACAACCTAAAGAATTATTTCTGCTCAGGTGTTGGCCAAGGGAAAAGATGTCTTCTTTTGTGTTTGACACCTGGGTACTTCTTCTAAGTACTCGAGTGTGTAGTCTTGGCATCTCCTGATATCTTGTTGGAACTGCAGGTTTCTGGGTACCATCAACTCTGGTTGAATAAGTTATCAGGAGTGGAGCCCAGAAACCCATTTTATTATTTTTTTTATCAAGTTAGCCTGTGGATTCTGATGCTCATTGAAGTTTGATAACTTCTGCCTTAAGGGGAGCAAGGGCCCAGGGATAAATGAACTGAGAGAGGGAGTCAAAGGGGCCAGACTGAGGATGGTGCTCCAGTACTACTTAAGGCTCACTTCTTCGGCTGCCAAATCCAAAAATACAGGGTGTGTGGGGTGGGGGAAATCATAGAGGTGAAACTAGACCCTAGCCAGTCCCTGCTATGCGGCAGACTGCTAGGCACTTGCTCAAGGCTGTCCAACAGTGGTGAACTGGTGCTAACCTGAGTTTCCTGACTTTTCATGCTGTGCTCTCTGCATTAGAAAAAGTTAGCTCTGTGGAGTACCAGGAAGGGAGGATGAAAAGAGGTGTGGGCGTATCTCAGAGACTCTTGGATCAGCATTTGGGAAATAATCCTTAGGTCTTCTAATTGTAAAATTCTAGTTATTTGAGAGAGAACAAACCCTAATGCCTAAGTGAGTCAGGCAAATATCAATGAATCAAACAGGTCACACTGAAACAGCAGGGGTATGTACCACTGATGAAAAGAGATACTGGCTTCCAGCTAATTATCAAGGGTTCAGTAAATCGGAGGTAAACTGATCCCAAGGCCCTGGCTGCTGGTCTATGGTCCTTTACCTTTCCTTCATTCCAGATCAAATTCTCTGGGTCAGAGGGCACAGGCATATTATCTTATCTCTGAGCACTGTATTAATTTGGGGCCCCTCACGCTACCAAATACACCTTAAGGCAAGGACTCAGTGCAAGATTTTTATTCTGGAAATACATGCTGGTGATCGGACAAGGAAAGGATAACAGCCAATCAGGAGTTTGTTACTAAGAAGAACTGACACTTTATTCTACTGAGGAAATCTTGGAGACTGTGTGGGACAAGTGCCTGGCAGCCATTGCATCCCAGGGAAAGAGCTGGGGTGTTTATATACCTACACATCAAATCCCAATACATGCTGCAGGGCTGCTCTGGGGAGACTGAACATTAACTCCCTGGAATTTCTATCCTGGCTTGATCTGCAAGATCAGGCTTCAGTGACCAGAGAAACCCCCAGACAGAGTGCAGGTGGTGGCATTTGAAGGTGGGGCCAGTGATTCCCTGACATCGGAGGTTCCAGAGAGATCTGGGTGGGGTACCAGCAACATTTGCTCTGAGCCATTCACTCTCTATTACTTCCACAGGTGCATTCAGGGATGGGTTGCTAGAAGCTGTTTGTTTATTTTTCAAGAAAAAGAAGAATCTAACATTTTTTGTGAAATCTCCCACGTTTCAAAGTGTGACAATTTATTTTAAAAATAAGTGAGATCAGAAAGACCACTTGTGTGAGCTCCTCTTCAATAGATTCACTGGGTTTAGCAGGACTTGGGTCTGAATTCCATTTCAGCCAATGAATTTGATAAAGGTTACTCACTGTCCCCTGGCCTTTTAGTTTCATCTTCTCAAATACAAGCCAGGGGCCAAGGTCAGATTGTGGTTTAACTGCTTAACACTGAATTACATGGATATAGGGAATGCATTCTGAGTATCAACCTTGTACCTGGTGTACTTCTGAGAGTTTTACACAATTTACATAAATTCTTGAGCCATCACTTTATGACATGCTATTTATTTTTATCTTTCAAACTTCAAATACCACATTTCCCCAGCTTATCAACTACTAGTGACTTGCTAGATATTACTCATGGCCATGGATAATTAGTGAAAAATGGCCCAGGAAGTATTATTTAAATTATTTTAAATTTGAGCAATTTACTGTAATTTTTCTTAGCTTTTTATTTTGAAGTAACAATGAATTCATAAGAAGTTGCAAAGAAATGAGCAGTTATTCTAATGCTAGCAATTTTTAACAACTATAGTGAAATATGAACACCATCCATTTCCAGAAACACAGGAAGGGAACCTGGATTGAAAGCTCTCTGTCTTGTCTTCTCTGTAAATACCAGTCTCCAGAGCTTTCTTCCTGGACCAGTTCAATGTTTTGCTGTTCTGAGATTGTGAGGCTTCACCTACATGGTTTGTGAGTCAGACCAGGAGAGGATTCCTGTCCTTTCCCATAGCTCTCCTGTTCTATGGAAGATTAGTCAAAAATGGACACAAAATGTTCCTTTCCCGGTGTCACATCCATTTGCAGTGTGACTTTGCCTTTTCTCTGATCCAAAGGTGAGTCCATCTTTCTAGCCCTTGAATCTGGATTTGGCTATGTGGTATGACTTACTTTAGCAGATGAGATATAAACAGAGGGGTTGAAGGGGCTTGTGAATCAGAGCTTGCCTCTCTTGCTGCTTACAAACCTTGCCATAGGGACTTGCGTGAATAAGCTGGGGCTACTCTGCTAGAAGAGGAGTGATACTTGGCCCAGTGACCTCTGCAGTTGCCGCTGAGAGCCAGCCAACTGCCAGATAATTGAGGTTAACAAATGTAGGCTGATCAGAAATGCAAGATTGAGCTCAACTAACACTGTGAGGAGCAGAAACAAACTGTTCCAGCTGAAATCAGCCCAAATACTGACTCACAGATATGTGAGCAAATAAATGGTTTTTGTTATTAGCCACTAAGTGATGAATGGTTTATGATGTGGCAACATCTGAATGATATATCTCCTGTATTTCTCCTTTTAAAAAAGTTTTAATCAGGGCAATGCAAAAGGCAAGACTTGAAAATTATCCATTAAACACAAGCTCAGGTTTGAAAATGATGTGTGTGTGTGTGTGTGTGTGTGTATTTATCTCATACTTTCATATTTCTCTCATACTATTTCACTCATACTTCCATATATATATATATATATATATATACACACACACATATGAGAGAAATAGGTCATGGATTATGGGTAATTCTTATTTTATCCTCCATATTTTTTTGAATCTATTGAATTTTCTACAATAAAATCTACAAATTTTTGAAGCAAGAAAAGAAAAGTCAAAGTGCTTGGGCAGTTTCTTCTGGCAGCCTTTTGATCATTCTTGGGCAAATTCTGAATTGACATGAACATTGCCACATGGCTGAGGTTGCTAGGTTGTAAAGACAGGTACACCAATGCAATGACTGGCTCCATTCATCCCACTACTTCTGGTGGGAAGTTTGGGTGGAAGTGGTAGATAAAAGTGCCTAATGGTAAAAATTCTATGCTTTCTAACTCTCCCATCTAAGTAGACCTTCCTTGGAATGTCAACTCACTACTTCCTTGGATGCTGAGTGGTAGAGAAAAAGGGAGAAGGAGGGGAAGAGAGGGAATGGAAGGGGGAGAGGGACAAGGGAGGAGAGAGAGAGAGAGAAAGCTAGTTCCTATTCACTGGTTCATTTTGTTACTACTGCAACTGCTGGAACTGGACAGAATTGAAGCTAGGAGTCAGAAAATCCAGGTCTCCCATGTGGGTGGGAAGGATCTAACTACTCAGGCCACTAAGTCTCTCTTAGCAGAAAGCAGGCATTGGGAGCCAGAGCCAGGACTCACGCCCAGGTACTCACATATCCAATGTGGGCAACCCTACTGCTAGGCCAAATGCCCACCCTTTTGCTGTTGTATCCTACATTCTGTACCCAGCTGTGGCTTTTGAGTTTCATCAGAGTCCTTTGAGCAGGTTGTACTGATGGGACCTGCAGAACCCTGGACCAGGAGATGTACTGGTGTGAGGAGTATCTTCTGTTTGTCCCTCCAGATGTGTTCTCTTTCTTTAAGCCTTGGGAAGTCAACTTATACTTACTGCATTGACACCTCCTGACTGGCTTTAGCCAACAGGGAGCACTCACTGGTGATCAGAAGGAAGGGACAGAGCGAGGCTGGGAGATTTGTTCCCCCGTTCTCACCTTGCAGATTCACTGTGGTCTGATTTGCTTTGAAGAACACAACTCCCACCAAGCAATCCCTATATCCAGATTTCAGTAGTCAGCTCACACCTTACCTCCTTCAGCATGGGTTAGTGAAAGTAGTGTTCCATTCCAGAGAACTGTACTAATCCTTGTGTGTACTGCTCCTTGTAGATTTTTCTACATCTGCTCATACTTTTATAAATTGTCCCCTGATCAGACTCTCCTCACATTACCTAAAAGAAGGGCATCTGAGAGATACTGTAGAGATGCATAGTCATATAACAAAGGTGGACAAAGACCCAGAAAAGGCAGCTCCTGTCTGTCAACAGAAAGAGCAATGTGGCAGAAAAAGAGAAAGAAAGAAATTTCCAGTTTCCGTTACTTCCTGCTCTTATTGTCAAAGAGGCATATTATCCATCATATTCAGGTCGCAGATAATTCTGACTAACAGGATGATACAGATGATGGGATGGTAATTTCCTTTTTATAAGCCTTTTGGGGAGAGCGGTGGGAGTTTTGTGACTAATGTCCATGACAGACCAAGTGACAAGTACACTGTGGAGGGGCCCAACATGAAAATCTTACCCGGCCATCACTGGTCAACAGGATGGAGTCACTCTTTATGTCCCTGTGAATCACTCCCTGGTTGTGAAGGTAGGAGAGTGCTCTCAGAACTGACAGGCAGACAGTAGCTATCTGTTCTTCATTCATTCTAGGAAGAAAATAGCAGGCAAGAATCAAGACAGGTTTAAAAACATCTTGGAAATGTTCAAGAGGGGCAGGTTTTGTGGATTCTGGTGAATCAGCCCATGCTCTCCACCCTTTTGCATATCTGGAGCTTAACTTATTCCATTCACCCTCTCTCTCCTCTTGCAAGAGGGTCAGGTAGCTCCAGGCATCTTCTGTCAGAGGAAATCAGACCTATAAAGTAGCTAGGTGGGAATGGATGATATTCTAGTGAATGGACCCAGTGAATGAAGAAGGAGGCACAGCACTGACATATGCTACCACCTTTCAAGGCTGCACCCCTGTGAAGGGGGTGTTTTGGGTTTCAGAGGAGGAAATGGAGGTCTAGTGATAGACAAAAGTTACACAACTGAAGAAGTGGCCAGGTCATGGTTCACACCTTGTCTCACTTCAAGTTCGGAACCCATGCTTTTTCACTTTATACTTCTGTCCCACACTTGTCCTTGCCACTCAAAAGAATAGATTTTTCTAATGAATTAAATAATTCAACCATTGAGGAATCTAGGGGGAGAATTACTTGGACAGCAGGGGCTGCTCAGTGTCCTCAAAAATGATTTAGTTAGGGGCCAGCGCTGTGGTGTAGTAGGTTAAGCCTCTGCCTGCGGTGCCAGCATCCCATATGGGCTCCGATACTAGTCCCGGCTGCTCCACTTCCCATCCAGCTCTCTGCTATGGCCTGGGAAAGCAGTGGAAGACGGCCTAAGTCCTTGGGCCCCTACATCCCTGTGGGATACCCGGAAGAAGCTCCTGGCTTCGGATGGGCGCAGCTCCAGCAGTTGTGGTCAACTGGGGAGTGAACCAGCGGATGGAAGTCCTCTCTCTCTCTCTCTTCCTCTCCTCTCTCTGTGTAATTCTGCCTTTCAAATAAATGAATAAATCTTAAGAAAAAGAGTCAGCTATCATCTGAAATCACTGATTTCCTCCCTAATACAGAGCGATATTGGGTGTCACCCTTTAAATAACAACTAAATAAAACGAGCCTCATGTAGACAGAGGAGACTATCCGAGGAGTCAGAGGCCAAAACCCAAATTTAAAGATTGCCCTGGAAAACTCCAGCCAATTACTAAATATGTGATCTTGAGAAAGATTCTTTTCACCTCTGAGCTGGAACTTCATCATCTGATAGCCAGGCCCATCTATACCTGCCTTTTAGAGATGTGTGAAGATAACGTAAGTCAATGTGTGAAGCACCTGATCATGCTAAGAACTTTCCTTTCTTTCTGGAACTCTCTGTTCCTGGAAATCAGAAGGAAGTAATTTAACTAGATGCTGGGTTAATAATAAAACTTCAGTATGTATGAGAAACACAATAAGCACTAGGATAGAGCATGAATTCTCATCTAATTGATCTGGGAAAGATCTTGAGATCCAATATTTCCACCAAACTTCCAAGTCCTCAGACCACACTTGAAGTAGCAATGGATTAGATGTTCTATCAGTCAACCAAGTAATCATTCAACAACACAGAGATTTAATATTGACTATAGGAAATGCTCCAAATTATTAGCTTAAGAATTTCAGATTATAAATATTCATGGTATTCTTTGATGCACAATTTCTTCTTGGTTTTGGGAGCTACTCTGCCTTTAAAGAGAAATTAGTTGACAAAACTAGAGGGAGAAAAATTAGAAAATACAATGGATTCTGGAGAGGCTAGCTCTGAAGTGGATTCCACTGACATGAAGTAAGAACAGAAAGGCACTTTGACAAAGGAAGAGCTGACATGAGTAGCCATGTGAGCTCCTGAAAAAAGCCTCTCCCTTGACATATTTCTACTACTTGCTTAATGTATAAATCATATTTGTCTTTTTCTTGGATTGCTCCAGAATATTTGTTTCTATAAATTAAGGTGAGCATATGTATTTTTTGGCAGGCCTGTTTCACGCCGACACCAACAATGGACTGCCGGTTGAAATGCTGGTGACAAATATGATGTCTTTTCTCCTGTCTCTTTGATGGTTTATGATACACTGAGAGCAGCACAGGAATGGAATGCCTTAATTTTATTGGTGAAATAGCAGCATCTTCTATCCTACTCCAGGTTTGCAATACTTTCTTGATATCTTGCCTTCTACCTATTGTCATTTAATTGGATCACTTTTTTAACATTTATTTATTTGAAAGACAGAGTTACAGAGAGGCAGAAGCAGAGAGAGGGAGAGGGACAGGGAGAGGGAGAGGGAGAGGGAGAGGGAGAGGGAGAGGGAGAGGGAGAGGGAGAGGGAGAGGGAGAGAGATCCTCCATCCACTGGTTCACTCCCCAAATATTCACAATGGCTGGAGCTGGGCAGATCTGATACCAGGAGCCAGGAGCTTCTTCCAGGTCTCCTATGCAGGGACAGGGGATCAAGCACTTGGGCCATCTTCCACTGCTCTCCCAGGCCATAGCAGACAGCTGGATTGGAAGTGGAGCAGCCACTATACCACAGCATTGGCCCCTTGGATCCACTTTTGATTTGGGGACCATTTCAGTGACATCAGTTAATATCCAATGCCTCTCCTTACTGGTCCTTATTTGCTTGTTTTCCTATTACAAATACACCTTATTACTCTGTCATATTATTCACCAGCAACACCTAACTTAGTTTCCTACAGCTGTTTTACATGTCTGTTCCTTAGAATGTTGAATCTCTAAGTGTGGCCCATAACCAGCAGCACTGGGATCCCCTGAGAGCTTGTTAGACATGCGGTTTTACACACTCCCTATTAAATCATGATCTGCATTTAAATAAGATCTGCAGTGATCCATATACATTTTGAAATGAGAGGTACTGTTTTAGCACATATTCTGTCCTCTGCCTTCAATGCCCTTCCACTCTCATTTGCTTCTTAGTAAACTCTTATTCATCCCTCAGAACCCATTACAAATTTTTCTTTACTCTGCTTATGGTATTCTTCTATATGACTTATATTCATCCTTTTAATTCTGCAAGGTACTATAATGTATTTTCTTCTCTGGGAATTCCCCCAAAAGATATATCTGGACCTTATTCTTTTGTCTCTTCAGAATCTCCAACACTTATCAAAGAGTCTGGCATATAAAAGCTGCTCAATAAACACTTTGATATGACTGGAACTGGCATATCAGGGAGGCAAGTAGCTGATGCTATAGGCTGGTAATTACCATTGGTACTTATAAGACTATTTTAAAACATATTTTTCTCCCATGTAGATTTCTTATTTTGACATACAATTTTGATTGCTCTTCTACCTGCCTACCTGCCTTTTGTTTTCCCAGATACCCTTGGTGGTTTTAGCACATAGCAATGAGATATCAACTCAAGAGAAAAAAACTCAATTTAAGAAATCCATGTTGGTGGTAAGACATTGTATTATTTTTTACTGCAACATCATTCTAAAAAGTTTGCTGATTTTGAATCAATGGGTATCAATGATCCTCTGCAGGCAGGGAGAATGAATGAACTATCCATGTAGGGTATTATAACAGACATTCTAGGCAATACAGGAAAGATAGTCATGGTCCCTTAATCCATAGGGCTTAAAAGTTATGAAGAGTTGGCAAACATAGTGACTGTGGCCTTGCTCTAGAGGAGAACAACAAACATCTTGAATGGGTAATAGAATTACCTGGTATGAGTAACGATGTCTGTCAAGGCACCACCTTCTAGGAACTCCATGACCACCCAGAGCTCATCACCAACAAGGTAGCTGTTGTACATGTCAACCACATTGTCATGGTGGTAATCCCGCATAATCACAACCTGGGTGCACAAGAAAGACACACTTTTTGATGTATGAAGAGGAAATTTGGCTTTTTGTCCTCTTGTGGCTAACCACATTGTAAGTACAATTGGTTAGAGTTAGAGTTTATGGAAGAAATTTATTCAGAACTGTATCATAAACAAAAGACATCAAGGGTAAGTAACAGGAATAAAAGCAAAATAAATGCATGAGAAAATGCCAGGTCCAACAGATAGTGGATGGAAGCATAGCAGGGAGAAAGATTGAAATGAAAACAGGTGAACCATGCCAAGGATCAGGAATGGGAAAATTTTTTTTCCAAGGGCCATTGGATATTTATAACATCTGTAGTGGGCCACTCAAAATTATCAACTTAAAAATAGGCTGCTTTAGCTTTATGGAATTTCAGGTTCTACCTGTGATTGTCTTGGCAGGGCCAAATGATTTCGTGGACCATATATGGCCTGTGAGCTGGATGCTCCCTGCCCTGGACAAGGAGTTTAGATGACTGTTGTGGGGAGATGTGAACAGATATCCCTAAGGGTCTCCTACAGAACACATTGTCTATGCTCTACTGTTGGTTAACCTAACAGAGTTGTCACTTTCAGTGACTGAGTGTGCTCAGCTCCATAAGAGAATGAATTTCTTGGGAGAAGGTCTTGGTTGAATCTGAGTGAGATTTGGGTTGAATACAAAGAGTATATGTTTAACATTTAAAAAAATATTTATTTGGCAAGGAGGGAGGGAGGGGGGATAGGGAGAAAGAAAGAGCAGTGAGCTCCTGTCTCCCAGTTCACTCTCCAAATGCCTACATCATGGAAGCTGGACAAGGGGTGAAGAAGCCAGAAATGCAATCCAGGGTTCCCAGAGTGGATGAGAGGAACACAATTACTGGAGCTATCACCTCTGCCTCCCAGGGTCTGCATTACCAGGAAGCTACAGTAGAAGCCAGAGCTAGGAATCAAATCCAGTCACTCTCTTATGGGATATGGGTATCTAAAACTAGTGTCTTAACTGCTAGACTAAATGCCTTCCTCCAAATATATATTAAAGGTAAAAGTAAATATGATATAAGCATAAAAAAAGACTAACTTGAGCCAGGTTGCTGGAATGAACTTCTAGTAATTGCTACCATGTGGCAGCTTCTAGTCAATTTGTCAGAATTAGAGTTAAATAATCAATTACAGGGGCCAGCATTGTGGTACAGAGTTAAGCCACTGCTTTTGATACTGAAACCCCATGTTAAAGTGTTGGTTTGAGTCTTGGTTGCTTTGCTTCTGATCTATCTCCTTGCTTATGTGTCTGGGAAGGCAGTGGAAGATGGCTCAAGTCCTTGGGTTCCTGCCACCTACCATGTGAGAGACCAGGATGGAGTTCCTGGCTCTTGCATTTAGCCTGGCCAAGACCTGACTGTTACAGCTATTTGGGGTGTGAACCAATGGATGGAAGTTCTATCTTTCTCCCACCCCTGCCTCTCTCTCTCTCTCTCTTTCCCCCTCTCTCTGTTGCTCTGCCTTTTGAATAAATAAATAAATAATAAATAAATAATAAATCTTTTACAAAATAATCAATTATAGGGTTGTTTATATAATATTGCCCTGTCTATTCTGGAATTGTGGTTTGAAAACAAATTTCAGAAATCAGGAGTAGTAGATTGGGAGGATGGGACTCCATGAAACTCAGGGTGTGCCTAAGAAATGAGCAGTCCTTAGAGCTGGAGATGAGTGGAGGTCGCCAGGGCTGCCTTGGAATCCTTCATGGAAGAGGGGGCCAAAATTACAGACAAGTACATTTGTGAAGTGCCTACTTACGGACCAAACAATTCCTACATACTTCTGAGAGAACATGAAATCTCACAACCAGAGTGGTCAGGTGGCCCTAGCTTGTTTTGGGAGTTAGGAGGTGTGAACACCCCTTGTGAGAGACTGACATTATCTAATGCTGACATCGTGACTTGACATCTTTAGGACTTAGATCTCTCATCCACAAACACTCAATTCTCTCTCCAAGACTCTCACAAAATTACCAAGGGGACAATATTCCAAAATGTGTGTGTTTTCTGACACCGTTACTCATGCTTTCCCATCTGTTTTAGAGCTCTTAAATGACAAGTGATTTTAAAGATAAATGAAGCAGGGGAACAATATATACAAGAAATACACAGAAGAGGGTTAGTTCCTTAATAGATCAAGAGCTCTTATACATTAATAAGACAAATTTTAACATCCTAATTGAAAACTGCAAAGGACATATGGTTTAATGAAGAAATAAAAATGACCTATAACTATAAAAAGGGACTGAACCTCTCTAATAATAAAAAGGCTAATTAAAATAGTAAGATTTATCCATGTCTATAAAGTTAACAGAGACAACATGTTAGCATCCAATCGGATACAAGTGAGGGTGCAAAAGGACTGTTGGTGAGGGTCCAAATTAATACAAGCTTTCTGAAAATCAACACCATCAATAATTTCTCAAAAATGACATTTATATATCATTTGATCTGTTCCTTCTACCTCCAGGAAACTAAAGAAATGATCAGATATGAGGCCAAGAACTGAAGTGTAATAATACTCATTGTAAGATTATTAAAGTGACAAATTGGAAACATAAGTCAGAGATCATTTTAATGAATTTGATACATGAACATGATAGAAGATTATTAGGTTATTAAATATTTTGACATATAGTTATGAAAATATGTCAATGTATTTTATATTAATAGGTACATAATTTATATATTAGTGTCTTATTTTATATTAATTTTATTAACATGACATCAATATTAAGTGAAATCAGGAAGTTACCAACCCACATATATAGAATTATCCTTATGCTAAATACAAGAAATATGTAAATAGAAAAATTATAGAAAGAAAATACTGAAGTAATGTAGGCTATTGTGGGATGCTTAGGTATTTTGTGGAATATTTTCCATTTTACATATTTTCTACAGGAAGAATTCACTATTTTTTTTTATTATTATTAGTGAGGGAGACTGAATGGGAGAGAGAGACAGACAGAGCTCCCATCTGTTGTTTCACTCCTCAAATGCCTGCAATGGCCACAGCAGGGCCTGTGACAGTCAGGAGCTTGGAACTCCATTCAGGTCTCCCAAATGGGTGGCAGGGATCCATCTACGTGAGCTATCACCTGCCTCTCAGGGCCTGCATGGGCAGGAAGCTGGAATCGGGAGCAGACTAGGAACTGAACCCAGGCACTCTAATGCAGAACATGGAATAAGCATCTTAATCAACATCTTAACCACTAGACCAAACACCTACCCTCATTCTTTTTATAGTTAAGAACATAAAATATGTTAAAGTTCCTGTACAGCGATAGTCCATTGGTAAACTGACCTCTGTTTATTAGAAAAATTGGTAGGAAAACTTAGCTACACACTGCGTGCATGATATCATAACAGTGTAAAATGTACATATACCCCTGTAGACAGTGTAGCATGAGGCTTTGGGATCTGCTAGACTGGGATTCAAATTCCAGGTGTGCAATAAACCTACTGTTCCACCCTGGGCTAGTCATTCACCTGCCTGAACACAGGTTTCCTCTTATCTGAAGCAGTGATCAAGTATTTCCACCTCCTATGGTTGCTGTGGCTGATGTGCATGAAGTACTCCATAACGGGAACAGCCAAACATCATGGAAAAAAGATGAGAAGGGAAGATGATGCAATTTTTATCTTAATGCTTTCAGTGGTTTTCTAAAGTCCTAAAATGTACATGTATAATTTTTTAAAATGGGAAATAAACGTTACATAGGCGAGAAAGGGTGAGCCAGACACATCACTCACCTCGTTAAAAAGCAGCTCTCGCCTTTGTTGCTTCCGGAGGTCCATCTTCTTCACCGCAACTTGTTTCCCTGTGTGTTTCTCAGTGGCGATGCACACAATGCCCGTCGACCCTTCCCCAATTTTGATAAAGTTGTCCAGGTACTCCCTGGGGTCCCCTGGGCTGACCACCAGCTGCAGGGCAGCCCGAAACTGTTCGTGGGACACCCTGGAGGGCTGCTGGTCTGAGGAGGAGCCCCAGCTGGGAGGAGGGTAGGTGCTGGATGAGATGCTGAGAGAACTCAGGTAAGAGGCGGTGGAGATGTACTGCGAGCTGGTCTGCAGGGAAGGGTGGTGGTATAGGGAGGCTTTTTGGTACCCAGATGGGTACTGGTGGCTGCTGGAGGAATAGCCCCCTTTGCTTTGACTTTGAGGTAGTTTGGCGGGGCCCCTGGGGTAGGTGTCGGACCCTGACAGTGGTGGGCTGAGGACCATCTGTGCTCGATCATAGTCCACCTGGGAAGACAGGGACAGAGACCATTCGCATGTTAGAACTGAACAGCAGCACATCCCTCAGGTTAGTGAGCCAACTTACAGCTGGCAGAATGAAGACCATCAGAAGTGATGGAAGGAGATGCCAGGTACTGAGTGCTGGGTAAATCTGGACAGTTGTCTCGTACTGCTGTGCACCCAAGCTGTATTTGCTGCTTAAGCCTTATTTTCTTATTCTGAAATGAAAGATCCCATCTCCTGTTAAAGGATGTTGTCTTCAGCTAGCATTCTGGGCAGAAATTTCAGGGGTAGGAAGCCCTTTCCCTTGCTTCTGAATTCATATATTCAAGGGTGGAATGAAGTGTCCACACACACAGAGGAATAGATGTAGATAAGAGGTAAGACATAGCTCCCTGTGCGAAGCAGCTTTTGTTTCAGCGTGGACCAGAAACATACTCACCCACTACGTACAAACATAATTAAGGGGAACCCAAATTTTCAGGAGTACACATGGAAGTGAAGTTTGGCCAGTGCCCAAAAAGACCCCAGAAAAGAACACTGCACCCTGATTTTGAAAGGTGGGTTGAGGGATTTAGTGGAGGAGAATGGGAGGGCAGCCAGATCAGGGGCAGAGGAAGCTGGGGAAGGAATCGCTCTTACAAGAGAGGAGGTGTAGCTCCCAGCTTTCACTCCCTGGGAAGGACCAGGCAGGAACTCTGGCCACCCCTGGAATGACTGAGATCACTGAACCACACCAGGCCACATTACCTTCCTTACCCAGGGTAGACATGGTGATTTATCAATGCATTCTTTTTTAAAAAAAATATTTTATTTGAAAGTCAGAGTTACAGAGAGAAAGGGATCTTCTATCTGCTGGTTCACTCCCCAGTGACCACAACAGTCAGGGATGGACCAGGCCAAAGCCAAGAGCTTCAACTGGGTCTTCTATGTGAGTGGCAGATGCCACACACTTGGGCTATCTTCAGTTGCTTTTCTGAGACCATTAGCAAGGAGCTGGATTGGAAGTAGGGGAGCAGGGACATGGACTGGTGCCCTTTGGGGAAGCCAGCATTGCAGATGGTGGCTTTACTTACTATACCACAACACTGGCCCCTGTCAACACACTCATTTGTAAGATGAGCACACAAGGCTGGCTACATAAAATGTATTTAAAAAGATTTGTTGCCGGCGCCGCGGCTCACTAGGCTAATCCTCCGCCTAGCGGCGCCGGCACACCGGGTTCTAGTCCCGGTTGGGGCGCCGGATTCTGTCCCGGTTGCCCCTCTTCCAGGCCAGCTCTCTGCTGTGGCCAGGGAGTGCAGTGGAGGATGGCCCAGGTGCTGGTGGATTCCACCCCATGGGAGACCAGGAAAAGCACCTGGCTCCTGGCTCCTGCCATCGGATCAGCGCGGTGTGCCGGCTGCAGCGCGCCGGCTGCGGTGGCCATTGGAGGGTGAACCAACGACAAAGGAAGACCTTTCTCTCTGTCTCTCTCTCACTGTCCACTCTGCCTGTCAAAAAAAAAAAAAAAAAAAAAAGATTTGTTGATTGGACCTCAGAGTCTTTCTTAACACAATGCACCAGTAAGTCTCTATCACTCTAGCAGGAAGTACATAGAATGATATTAAGTTGCTCCCTCCCACTCCGTGCCATCCACTCCAAACATCTTTAATATGGTAGTTACTGATCACAGGCACCTATTTAAAGTTGATGAAAATTAAATAAAAATTAAAAATTGAGTTCCTCACACTATTCACCATTTAAGTACTTAATAGCCACCATATCGGACAGAATATACACAGAATGTTTCCGTTATTACAGGAAGGTCTATTGGACAGCACAGTTCTAGGCAAATCGATTCCATGGAGTGCATTCATTCATTTTTTTCAAATTCACACAAGGTGTTTCAAAAATTTTATGGAAGAATGTTATTCAAAGATAATACAGCTCCTCCATAAATCTTTTGAATCTACCTCATATTTGGGGTAGGCATGGCTTCAGGTAATGGGGGGAGAATAAGCCAATAATCAAAGCAGATGATATCTCTGCCTTCTTAGAGTTTATATTTTAGAGAAGGTAACAGGTGATAGAGACAAAAGCAACACATCTGGGGCTGGCACTGTGCCACAGTGGGCTAAAACCTCCGCCTGTGGTGCTGGCATCCGATAGGAGTAAAGGTTCTAATCCCGGCTGCTCCTCTTCCAATCCAGCTCTCTGCTATGGCCTGGGAAAGCAGTAGAAGATGCCCCAAGTGCTTGGGCCTCTGCACCCTTATGGAAAACCTGGAAGAAGCTCCTGGCTCCTGGCTTCCGATTGACTCAGCTCCGGCCATTGCAGTCATTTAGGGAGTGACAGTTGTGGTCATTTCTGTCTCTCCCTCTCTCTGTCTGTAACTCTACCTCTCAAATAAATAAAATCTCAAGAAAAGCAGCAAATCTACAGCATGCAGTCCAACAGTGACAAGTGAAAGAAAGAAAACTAAAGCAGAGTGAGGGACTTGAGAATAATGAGGTGCCATCTTGGAAAGGGTGGTACTGGAGCAGACACCTGGCTGAAGGGTGAGAGCAAGTGCTGGAACGGCCTGTGGAGGGCTGGCCCAGGCAGAGGCAGCAGCACATGCAGCATTCTTGGGCAGACGCAGACTTGACAGGTTGACAACACTATGGAGGTTCCCCTGGAGTGAATGCAGTGACCCAGAAAGATGAGCAGAGAAGCAGTTAAGGGACAGATCATGAAGACCTTGGCAAAGATGTTAGCTTTTGCTGTGAGTTAGTGGGGAGCTCTGGAGCGTGCTAAATAGAGGGGAGGGACACACTCTCACTCCTTCTGGCTTCTAGAGAAGTGGCTTCAGTAGCACAAGTGGACACAGGGATGCCAATGAGCTTGCTCAGTCAATATGGGCTGGGATCAGGCAGTTACCATACAGGTTACAAACAGACCACGGCATGGAGAAGTGAAGAGGGATGGGGCCCACTGGTCATTGGAACTAGCAACATGGTGGAAGCAGGCAGGTGTCTCAAGCGCCTCCTGTATCATACTGCATAAAGGATGTTCATTCCATCACATCAGAGAGCAACGGCTGCACATATCAGCTCTTTAAAATCTCTATGATGCTACTATCCTCAGTGTTTCTGCACTGTTCATTGATTCCAAGATGACAGTGCTGCCTTGCTGCACACCCAGCTATGCAGTTCTGCCAGCTTCAAGAGCACCACACTCTACTTGAATGAATTTACCTCTCAGACAGCCTGGGCATCAACTCGCAGGACATAGGTTGGCTGCTAAGCCGGGGTCCGATCCTGATTGCAGAACAGAGAATACATTCTTTTTCTTCTTTCTTTTTTTTAAAGATTTATTTATTTATTTGAAAGTCAGAGTTACACAGAGAGAGAAGGAGTGGCAGAGAAAGAGAGGTCTTCCATCCGTTGGTTCACTCCCCAATTGGCCTCAACAGCCAGAGCTGTGCTGATCCGAAGCCAGGAGGCAGGAGCTTCTTCCAGGTCTCCCATGTGGGTGCAAGGGCCCAAGGACTTGGGCCATCTTCTACTGCTTTCTCAGGCCATAGTAGAGAGCTGGATTGGAAGTGGAGCTGCCAGGACTTGAACTGGTGCCCATATGGGATGCTGGTACTGCAGGCGGCGGCTTTACCTGCTACGCTACAGTGCCGACCCTGAGAGTACATACTTTTGAAAGACACACTTAGGGATGAATTCTGACTCTGATGATTTTCATTAAATCACTGAGCCTCTCTGAAACTCAGTTCCTCATCTATAAAATGGCGTAATAACATCTTAGGTCATTGTGAACTCTGAAAGATTGAATATACAACAAAGCATTTGTATACTGAATGGCAAATACATTATAGATAGTATGACTATTATATAAAAGTGGTTAGCACAGTGGGGATGTGAAAGAAAATACATATTAATAAAACTAGCTATCATTTACTGAAGATATAGAATGTACTGGTGGCATTAATCCTCAAAATAAACAAGACACCTTTAATTATATTATATCGAACACTTAACTATAATTAAGATATTATTTTAGAAAACAACTGATTTTTAAAGCCTCTGTATTGTGCTACAGAAAGAAAAATCATGCATCCGTGTGTGCCCATGTGTGCATGCATAGAGAAGGTGTGAGGAGATAAATATAAGTGTGTGTTAAGCAATAGGATTCTTCCTTTAAATTGGGCTTGAGATTACTCAAGTCTAGGCTAGCCAGCAAGGCCAGGGTGTGACAAACAGAAAAGTCTTTGACTTTCATTTTTGAAAGTGCATCCTGGGAATCATCACATACCATCACCTCTCTGTCTCCCTTGGAGGATTTGCTCTTGTACTTTCTATAAAGTTGAATTCATTCCCCTGAAGTCTGCATACATGATACCTGAAGATATGTTAAAAATAGGAAAGCTGGGGTGGGCATTTAGGCTAGTGGTGAAGATAATGTTTAATATGTCTGCATCCATTAACAGAGTGCAGGGGTTTGATACCCAACTCTGGCTCCTGACTCCAGCTTCCTGCCAATGCAGACATGCGAGGTAGCAGTAATGGCATGGTGTAGTGTCTTGGCCACCACATCACTGAACCATGGTCCTCAGCTGGCTCTTAACCCAACTAAGGGATCCACAATGATGCAATCAATGGGCCACACTTTATGTCAGGCCTCATTCATTTCCTTGCTCTGGGAATCAAGCAGTGAGATTGAACCCCCAGAAAGTAAAGGCAGGCCCCAGCCTCTTGTCTGTCTGCCTTAGGCCAAGGTGTCCTTGCCTGCCCTTTATCAAAAGGAGCTCAATGAACTGAGGGAATGGCATAGTTGGCTTGACAAGGTTCTAATCACCAGACTCAAGAAGTTGTTTACTTCTCCAATAGTCAAAACCTTGTTGGCCAGCATGGTCTGGAGGGGTCTGTTTAGGGAAATGTCACGTCTATTCAGGGGCATTCCAGGTCTGGGGTAGGAGGTAACTAGGGCTCACATGAACCTCCTACTCCCCAGACCAACTGAAGTCCCGAGAACAT